TTTATGTCCCTTCCCTACGTAGAAACCTTATTTCCGGAGGCCTACTCAATAAGGCTGGAATAAAAATGGTTTTTGAGTCTGACCGTCTGGTTCTGACTCACTGTGGGAAATATCTGGGAAAGGGATATTTGCGTGGAGGCCTTTTTGTGCTAGATGTTTCTGTAGCTAGAAATAAACCTGTTTTAGCTGGTTCAAACAATTGTGATGTCTTTGCAAACAATGCTAATAATAAAGCTTCTTCTTCCGCTTATATAGTTGTTTCATTAAATCTATGGCATGATAGATTAGGACATGTTGGTACAAAATGCTTAAATAGACTGAAAAGCATGAATATGTTGCCAAAATTGTCAAGTGATGCATGTACTCAATGTGAAATTTGCATTGAAGCTAAGTTTGCTAGAAGTTCCTTTTCAACAGTGAATAATAGAACATCAACTGTTTTAGAATTAATTCACACTGATTTAGCATACTTCAAAACCACTGAAAGTCGAGGTGGAAAACGTTATTACATTACTTTCATTGATGATTTTTCGCGTTTCACAAAACTTTACTTGTTAAGATCAAAAGACGAAGCCGAACAAAAATTTGTAGTTTTTAAAAATGAAGTAGAAAACCAGTTAGACAAAAAGATTAAAAGGCTCCGATCTGATAGAGGAGGAGAATACGAATCAAAATCACTAAAATTACTATGTGAAAAGTCTGGCACTATTCATGAATTAACAGCACCATATACACCTCAACAAAATGGCATCGCTGAGAGAAAAAATAGAACTCTCAAAGAGATGATCAATGCAATGTTGATCAGTTCAGGTGCTCCGGACTCTTTGTGGGGGGAAGCGGCTTTAACAGCAAACCACATTTTGAATAGAGTACCGCATAAAGGGTTTGAAAAAACCCCTTATGAACTGTGGAAAGGGCATGCCCCTAACCTTAATTACTTTAAGGTGTGGGGCTACTTAGCCAAAGTAGGACTACCGTCCTTCAAGAGGCCAAATCTGGGGTCTAAAACCCTAGATGCCATTTTTGTTGGTTATGCTGAGAACAGTGCTGCATATAGATTCCTGCTCTTAGAAAATCATTCAATGTGTGAATCTAGAGATGCCACCTTTCTTGAAACCTCATTTTCAATGAAAAAGGACTATAACAAAAGTGATGTCAGCTTGTACCAAAATTCTCCTCCTTTACCTCCTAGTTTCACAAGTAACTCTGAGGAGCCTAGAAGAAGTAAAAGGCCTAGAATAGAGAAAAACTTTGGTTCTGATTTCGTGACTTACATGACAGAGTTAAAAGACCTGAATGAAATTTGTGATCAGTTCATATGTCAATTAGTACTAGAAGAAGAACCAAAAACCTTTCATGAAGCTATGCGCTCAGTAGATTCCACGTTGTGGAGAGAAGCTGTTAAAAGTGAATTAGACTCTATACAGTCAAATCACACATGGGAGTTAGTAAATCTACCCAAAGGCTGTAAGCCCATTGGTTGTAAATGGATCTTTAAAAGAAAACTAAGGCCAGATGGGTCTGTAGAAAGGTTTAAAGCCAGGCTAGTAGCTAAAGGCTACACTCAGAGATTCGGTGAGGACTATTTTTACACATACTCACCAGTGACAAAGATTGCAACCATTCGTGTTCTATTTGCTTTGGCATCATTACACAGGTGACAGTTCACCAAATGGATGTTAAAACTGCATTTCTGAATGGTGAACTGGAAGAAGAAATCTACATGGAGCAACCTCCCGGATGCGCAGATCCGGGTCAAGAGGGGAAAATGTGCAGACTTAAAAGATCTCTATATGGCTTGAAACAAGCTCCAAAACAATGGTATGAGAAGTTTCATAAAACCTTAATAGACCTGGGTTATACAACGAACCGGTCTGATGCCTGCTTATATACAAAAGAGGTAAAGTCCAGCATTGTGATTATTTGTCTCTATTTAGATGATATATATGCTAATCTTTAGCTCTAACATCGAGGCTATAAAAGAAACTAAAAGAACTCTATGTGACAACTTTGACATGAAAGATCTAGGGGAAACCGATGTGATACTTGGGATAAAAACCACAAAAACTGAGAAAGGTTATCTCTTATCCCAAGGTCATTATACGGAGAAACTTCTAAAGAAGTTTTCCAGTTATGAGGTCACTCCGGCAAAGACCCCTTTTGATCCTAGTGTAAAACTGTCAAAAAACGTAGAGGCTAGTGTGTCACAAGAAGAATATGCAAAAATAATCGGGAGTCTAATGTTTCTGATGAATTATACTAGACCCGACATTGCATATGCTGTGAACAAACTCAGTCGCTACACGCATAACCCGAGTGTTCCACATTGGGATGCACTAAAACGGGTACTGCGGTACCTTAGAGGCACAGTGGACTGGGGCCTCGACTACAAAGGGTCGCCAGCCGTACTAGAAGGGTATTGTGACGCGAATTAGGTAAACGGAAGTGATGATGCAAGCTCAACTAGTGGATTTGTATTCACTATGTGTGGAGCCGCTGTATCCTGGAAATCAACCAAACAATCGTGCATTGCTAAATCAACTATGGAAGCTGAGTTCATAGCTCTAGATCTAGCAAGCCAAGAAGCAGAGTGGCTAAGAAACCTACTGGCACTAACATGAAAAAGATAACTTATCAGAATCGACCACATCAGAGAGTACATGTAATAGAACTCTTCACTAAATGTTATCTAATTTTCTATTTTTAGTTCGCTGTCATCAATGTTATAATTTTGGAAACTTGTTTACCATGACTTATTTTCTAAATTCACTCACCACTTTTAGATGGTTTGACGCTTTGAATATAATGTAGGATGTCCAGTTCAACATTGTTTTACTTTGTCATTTAGAATTCTCAAAAATTCTATCAGTAATTAATATATTATTGTATGCATGTGACTCTGGAAAACACTGACTAAATTCACAAAATCAGTAATTCACGCAATTGTTTCTGTGAATTTAAAGAAAATCAGAAACAAAAATATGACAGGAGTAAAAGAAGCTTGGTAACAGCTCCAACGGAGCGGCAATTGTGACACCAAACGCCAAAATGGCGCCGATTTTGGCGCTCAATTTCTCCAATGAAGGCACCAAAAGGGGCGCAATTTTGGCGGTGGTCTATAGTGCAGCGCCATGCACTGGAGCTTGATGTCAAAATAGTGTTAATCATTTTAATTTTTACTTTGATCCTTGTCTTTTTTATTAATTTCTTTTGTATCCCTATTTTGTTGTGATGGATTTACATATTTTATTAAATACATAAACATAAAATTTGAATAATTACAAATAAATTATACCATTTGAAAGATCTCATCAAGACAATTAAAATAAGCCTAATATTATATATAGATTAATTAAAAATTAAAATACATAAAACATAATTTTCATAATATTAAACTGAATACATCCGAAATTAAACAAAACATACTTAGAATTAATAGTCTCCAAGACTACCCCATTTCTTTCCAGATTATCAAAATATTGATTAAATTGACTACTTGATTCAACCCCTCCTCTATGTGTTTGCTCATTAGCTCTCTTTGCAACAATTTGTAGTTGCTCATTCCTTATAGACTCATGCACCATTGGATTTGTGATAGAATCTAAATTTATGCGTAAGATTTTGTTCTCTTCTCGACGCTCTCTGTTCGCTTCCTGTCGTTCTGCCAACTCTACTTTCCTTGCTTCAGTCTGAGCTTTTAACAACTGAACCTCGTAATTTTTTTTCAAGTATATCTTGATTATGTTGGAACATTTTTTTTATTTGTTCATTTTCTGTCTGGATGGATTTTAAAAATTCCTTACTTTCTTCATTGAGTTGTTTCTTCTTTTTCTCCTCGTTCCTTACCGAGGACGTTCGCTTGCATTGTTGTTTTCGTTAACCTGGCCTACACTTTCAAAATCGTCATTCAAATCAACACAAAAAGATGATGATCCTATTGACTTATCTGTTATATCATGCAGTGATTGTGATCCTTGAAAGTCGGTACTTCGTTTTCGGCTATCAAGACTCGCGTCTCTACTAGGAGTAGATCAAAGCTAAATTTCTCGAGGTCCTTAAGGATAGGCCATACGTGATCACATCTAAACCCCTTTGAAAATTTGGCATCTTGTGACATTAAATCTTTTGCTCTATCTAGCTGTTATAAATCATAAATATAAGCACGTAAATAACAAATATGTGTAAAGTATTCACAATTTAAGCAAATGACTAATAAAACATTTATAAAGTACTTACAATGTCTTGTTCAAATGCTCTGCTTAGATTCATATTTTCAATTTGGCGGATGCATCCTCTTAATTTTGAAATAGCTGTCATTATATTTTGCATCCGCGTTTGAAGAGATCCCCAAGATCAAATATTATCATTATTTGTTGGTGGCATTTGATAGTACTCAATCCCAATACGAGTCCAAAATTCTTGTTGTGCCTAGAGCTGTCAATGCGGGCTGGCGGGGCGGGGCCCGCCAAAGCTCGCCTTTGTGGCGGGGCGGGCTAAAAAGCCCGCCAAAATGCGGGCCTAAGGAAGGTCAGCCCGCCCCGCCCTCCCTTAGGTCCGCGGGTATGAGCGAGGGCCCGCCAATTATTTTATTTATTTAATTATTTTATTTTTTTTTTTGCATCTTTAATCTATAGTTCTAATGTTCTACACACTGCATTATATAATAAAATATAGCAAACTTTGATGACAAAGGGCAACACTATAATCTATACAGAATACAGTGTATTTTTTATTATGCACTATAACTGTATTATCTATTATGCACTATAACAATAACAGGTAACAACACTACTGCAGTACTGCTCTAGCTGAATTGAATAAACAAATAATCAATTAAAAATATTAATTGAATTAAAGGTGAAAAATAAATTAGCCGGTGGTTCAAGAATCACGATGTGTCACTGGGAGAACCGAACTACCAGAGAAGGCTGTTGGACTGCTGGAGTGTTGTCGGAGTGGTCGACACTCGTTATTTGTTAGAAAAATTGAGTGTTTGATGATAGGGAAGTGAGGAAACGAGATCTTCAGGCGTGTGATCACTTTCCTATAAGCTTTAAATCTCCCTCATATAAAGCAACAAGGTTCAAGATTCAATCTTATGGGATACAAGAAGATGATGAAATTCTTAAGTTGCTTTGTTTAAGAACTTCCTGTAGAAAAGTAGTACTGTGAAAAATCTCAGATTAATGCAAGTTTATTGCATGTCCATCTTCAGATGTTTCTCCAAAATATTTATAAATGAAAATATGACTGTTGGAGAAGTTACATGGAAGTTTTCTGCAGTTTTAAAAACTTATCTTACATAAAATATATCTTAAATGATATATTTATCATAAGAGAATATTAATTACATAAATCATGTTTCAACATGAATATATATGTAATTATGAACCTTTGTAAGGTTGTGAACGGCATGCAAATAACTGTGCAAATTATAATAATATATATATTATAATTTTCTAGCACACTTTTGCATATAAGTTTGGGAAAATTAGAAGCTCATGTGCTGTGCAATCAATTTTCAAATGAAATAAACAATTCCCCTATATTGAGGAATAATCCCCCAATGTTGGGGAATAGTCCCCCAATGTTGGGGAATAATCCCCCAATGTTGGGGAGTAGACAAACCCTTCCAACAAACTCATTCTCCAATTAACTTTCTACCAAACTTATATAATATTTATAACTCCTCAACTCCAAATATTATTTTAAGCTTTCATGGTAGTCCATTTGAAATATTAATCTTCATTACTATATAAATTTTCAACATTTTTGTGAGTGTCAACTTCTTTCCTGAAGTAAGCAACAACCCAACTTGTCCAATGCCTTTGACTTTCACCATGGAATCATTTCCCATGTACAGGCTTGGACCATCATTAAGACTTTTATAAATCTTATAAAGATTTATATCTTTGCAGACATGTCTGGTTGCCCCAGTGTCAACCCACCATGAGTCATCAGTCTGCATGACACAAATTGCAGATATCATAGCAATGAAATTTTCAGTACTATCAGAAACAATATTAATTATATTACCTTGTTTCTATTGGCCACTTCCCTGGCCATGATCACCAGAATTTTTATCTTCCATTTGTGCCTTTCTTTTCTTTCAGATTTCACAGTCCTTTTTAAAGTGTGGACCGTTGCACACCCAGCATGGTACAGATGCCTTTCCTTTTCCTTTTCCTTTCTTCTTAAACTTTGAAGAATTTGTGGCCTTTCCCGACTTCCCTTTCCCTTTACGGTTCCCACTTAATTTTCTTTCATCAACATAGTTGATGACAGAACCTGAAGTCCCGGTGACTTTTGCACTGCTTGCATTCTTACTTTCCTGCAATCTGATTCCCTCTTCAACCCGAAGGTTGACCCCCAACTATTCCATGGTAAGAGCTTCCTTTTTATGCTTTAAGGTACGTTGTACCTTTTTTCAGGAAGGGGGCAACTTATCAATGATACTGGCTATGGCAATGGAATCATCCATATGCATATCACGTTGCCTCATTACCCCAAGTATCCTGACAATCTCATGGAATTGTTCCATGACCGGACGATTGTCCACCATTTTATAATCATTGAACTCATTTACCAGGAATTTCTTACTGGAGGCATCCTCAGATATGTACTTTGCTTCAAGTACATTCCAGAGGTCCTTTGAGGATTCATCATACTGATAAATATCAAAGAGGTGGTCAAACATACCGTTCAGAATATGGCCACGGCAGGCAAGGTCATCATTCTCCCATTTGAGTCTCCGGCGAGTTGCCTCGAGAGTCTCATATTCCCGTTCCTCCGGCTTTGGGGTACTTAGTACGTATGCCACGTTCAGAGCCGCAATGAGGAACTTCATCTTCTTCTGCCACCTACGGAAGCCCACGCCTTCAAACTGCTCCAACTTAGGGAAGTTGGTTGCAAAGTCCAGAAGTCCAGAACTGATCCTTCCTCAGAAACAGATATTTTAAAGCTTATAGAAAAGTGATTACACGCCTGAAGATCTGGTTTCCTCACTTCCCAATCATCAAACACTCAATTTATCTAACACTATTCGCTACTACAGTACTGTGACTCTGGGACTAGGTCACTAAGAGAACCGAAAAATGTACATGTGCTCGTCAGCCATTGCTGCTTCGCTTGGAGCTTGGGAAAATTGGAGGGAGTGGGAGTTTGGAAGAATGAGAGAGCTTGCATCGCCGGCCATCGCTGCTTTGATTGGAGCTTCGAAGAATCGGAGGGCGTGAGAGTCTGGGAGAATCAAAGAGCTTGCGTCGCCGGGCATCGATGCTTCGCTCAGAAACGGCAGAATCGGGAATTAGGGTAGGGATAGTGTCACGCCCCACTTCTAGGACATGACCCGGTCGTACCGTTACATGAAAAATTGTAACAATACGAAGCCTAACCGCACGTATCTCTCGAAACCTTCATAACAACACTTAAATACATAACAATTCCACAACCCAAAATGACAAAATATAAGCAACTAGTTCTTCCCAAAAGCTCATTAAATCCACACACAAATATTTACAATCATGAGTAGTATGTCCAAAATACATCACAAGCACAACGAGTTACCAAAAATACAAGGGTCAAAGGGAATATCCAAAGGAAACGAAATTCGTGATAAGCTCCAACACTAGGACTAAGTCTCCTAGTTTCAAAAGTCACCTCCGAGACCCCACCACTTGTGCTCATGCTATTCACATGTCCTTACTACTCTGAAACATGAGAAAATAAAATACAAATAATGAGGTAATGCCCAATAAGTGATACTCCTCTCAACCCCGGATCAAGTAAACCCAAAATAATACAAAAAGCTTTAGAGTAATAACTCGATGCAAAACTCGATCTTTAAACTATATCGAAATCATAATATACTTTCGTCATACTATAAACAAGTTCACAAAACAAGAAAATTTAGCTACATGGGCATCAACAATATTTCATAATACAATACTTTCAAAAGCACAAACCATTCCTTAACATATGACTCATTGGAAACCTACAACCACCATTATATTCTGTGGTACATTCCATTATCGATATAATGGTCCAAAAAGACTCGACAATTCGGAATGAGTCAGGCTCGACGATTCAGAATGAGCCGGATGGAACATTCCAACAAATAATTCAAAAGACTCGACGATTCGGAATGAGTCAAGCGCGACGATTCGGAATGAGCAATTAGGAACGTTCCAAGCCAAACAAAACAAACAATAAAATGTAGGTTGCCTCATGAGTTTGATCAAATAATCAAAATAGTTCTTATAATCAAATAGCCCGATGTATCAAAAATCATTTCCTTAAAATCACATAACAAAGTACATATTTCCAAAATAGATTATATGTTTATCAAACTAAGAAATATGCAAGGTATAAACCATTCTCAAAATAATAATTTTCTTAGTACATAACTCTTTAAAAATCATAGAATGGTTTATTAAACCAAAGTAATTTCAAAGGGATTGAAATGACTTAGTTGGAAAGAACTTAAATTAATAAGCATAAGGTTAAGATTTCAAGTCTCACTTTAAATAAATAAATTCATTTAATAAAATGAGCATATATTACATATAAAACAAACATAAGGCATTTAGCAAGCAAAATCAAACTTTGGACAAACCGCCACTAGCATAGCAACCATAAACCATTCCACTATCACTACACATGGTGATAATTTCAATCAGAAATTTACCTTAACCTTTATTCCGAAAACACAGTCCAACAAACCGCCACTAGCATAGCAACCATAAACCATTCCACTATCACTACACATGGTGATAATTTCAATCAGAAATTTACCTTAACCTTTATTCCGAAAACACAGTCCAACAAACCCAAACAGCATCTCAATCCAGATTTCAGCTTAGCATTTCAAACCCAAAAACATATCATAGTCCAAAATATCTTTAACTCATACTAACCCTAAAATGGATATTCAAAGTAGTTGAAATTATCCCATAATAAGTTATGGGTTTTGCAAAATAAGGAGAGAAGATGTAATCACTTACCTAAAACATCCAAATCTTAGCTATTTAGCTCGCCAAATAATCCTTGTCAAAAATCCATAATATTTTCAAACATCAATCTTAGGGCTCAAACGATAAACCCAACTCAAAGAGTGAAATATGGAGGTCAAACTCACCTAGAATACTCCAATAGCTTTGAGATCTAAGATTGAAGAAGATGGAGATCAAAGCTTCAAGATTTTTCCCTTCCTTTATCTCTCTAGCCAATATTCTCTTTTTCTTCTTTCAAATGAGATGGTCTTCCAAGATGAAAGGGATTCCTTAAGCTTTAAGGATAAAGAGGGGCAATTTAGTAAATTCATCCAATATCAATTTTAATAACCTTTGACTTGTTGACCTATTTTAATAACATAGATATATTTTTATTTCTAAGATAGTGGGGATTACAGATAGGGGGCGGCTGCACTTGTTCTCTTTTTGATTTTCTCATAGTATTTATTTTAATTTTAAGTTTTAATCCTTATTAATTATTTAATATATATATATATATATATATATATTTTAAAAAAAAAAAAAAAGCGGCGGGCTAGGCGGGGCGGGCAAAAAAGTTCATTTTTAATATGGGATTCTAAAACACGAGCTCACCGCGTCCTTTTGGCGGAGCGGGGCAGGAAAGCTCGGCGGGCTAAGCCTGTTTTGACAGCTCTAGTTGTGCCTAATTCTTACCAACTTTAGAATCTTGGCTAATATCACAATATACACGACATAGAAGTTAATCTTCCTCAATTTTGTATGATGCAGTCCGGGTTGTGCGTGAGCTCGACATTTTGCAAAGAGAATGGAGGAGTGTTTGAGAGGGGGTTTGAGAATCCAGAGAGTTGTGGTTTTACTTTGGCAATCCAAGTGTAGTATTTATAGTTGAAAACACTTCTGATAAAGGTTGTGATAAGATTTCATATCTTTCATTGGATTGTGTGTTGGAAAGATTTGCATCTCAAAGAATGGTTAAGATTGTTGATATTTAATCTAACGGTTGAAAATAATCCTGATAAAGGTTGTGACAAGATTTCATATCTTTCATTAGATTGTGTGTTGGAAAGATT